AATAATAATAATAATAATAATAATAATAATAATAATAATAATAATAACAATAACAATAATAACAACAACAACAATAATAATAATATTACCTGGAAATAGCAAAATAGAAGTGAAAGAATTGGAGAAAAACACAAAATACAAAGACCTACAAATAGAAGTAGAAAGACTGTGGCAAAAGAAAGCAAATATATTATCTGTAATAACAGGTACCTTTCTTATAGTTCCAAAACATCTAAAGCACTACTTGTCAGCATTGACAAAATCACCATCAGTCAATTGCAAAAGGCAGCTTTACCTGGAACAGCTTACAACCTGAGATAATAGTACCTGTAATATTATTAAACAGCAACATATGCCTATGCCAAGTCCTTAGAAAGATTCAGTAAGTGGTCAAAAATGCTAACCCCAGTCTAAATATCTGACTGAATTATGCAATAATAATTTATTAACTTTATATGTGGTCCAACTCTCACTGATTGGAAAAACTGGCCATAAGAACTGTGGTGTACCAATTGGGTATTTTGGAGGATTTAAAATAACTCATGCCATTCTCCATTACTTAAAGTGATCTTGATTTAGCTAATATCTCATCTTGTAACACAGTCAATATGTCAAATATCTGTCCTGCAAATTACCAAACTGTTAGTAGACATTGGAATACAATTTCCTTGGACATTATAACTGAGCTATCATGTTTGAAAGATCTGGATATCATTCTGATGGTGGCTGATTTCTTTTTTTAAAATGGCATATTTTATTATCTGTTGTGATCTCCCTGGAGCCCTGCATTAGCTTCCCTGTTCATTCAAAAAGCTTTCTGGAACCATACTTTGCCTAATTACTTAATTTCTTACAAACGCCATCAATTTGTGGCACATTTTGAAAGTTGTTTCAGTTACTCCTTCAATAGTTCCTTCTTTCACCCATCTTCCAAATAAGCCACATTCACACAGGACGAATTCCACATTCGAATATTACTTTTGTTGTAAATTACCAGAAAGACACCAGAAAGACTAACATTTTTATCTAGAACTATATTGAGTTATAATATGTGAGTGCATACCTCCACTCAGCTGACACAATTGCGGGTGTGTGGCCACTTACAATTATCATCTGATCTTCTGCTTGAATGCTTTCCAGTGCTCCACTCTTACACATCTCCAAGAAGTTCAGCACTTCTTTAAGAATCAAGTGGATTGCACTAAAATCTCCTATAAGCTCTCTGTTATCATCATGTAGAATAACTCCCTGGAAACTGTTGGAGAAACCCACCTGAGATTTCTCCCCTCACCATACATTAAAGAAGCTAGATGTCAAGTTTACTGAACCATTTCCCATAGTAATATAGATTAGTTCTATAATTTTTTGCTTGCTGCCATGTTGGAAATGCATCTATTTTTACACCATGCCCTTCCAGTTCTAGAATGCCAGTTTTTACAGTAGTTATGGACAATTTTTAGAAACCTACTTAAATATTTTAAGTGCTTAAAAACCTCATTGAAATATTAAACTATTTTTCAGTAGTTGGATATAGGCAGGAAACCTGACTGCGAGATACATTTATTGTTAGTCGGCATTGGGACCAGACACTATCACAAAGTCCAGAAAGATTAAAATAGTTATCTTGCTCTACAGTCTTAAAACAAACCTTTTTGTTGTTTATTAAATAAATTTCAAATGGACCAAAAAGAAAGTGACTCCTTTGCATTGTTTCCATAACAATGGGAATCAGATGGCGGTAGGAGAAAGAATCGTTTCATCTTTCAGTGAGTTCAAAGCTCAATTAATTACTTTTTGCCAGGAACATATCACTATTTTCTGATTAGTTCTGCAACTGAGAAAGGGAAGATTAATGTTTTTTGCCCCATTCTAAAATGAAACAATTATCTGGCATTGAAAAATAAACATTATTGTTAATTTAAATACCTTTGTTTCTGACTCAAATGTCCTCACTTATTGTTGCTTTCATTTACAGATGAGAAAGTACAAAAGAAAAAAATCTGGGGAAATTTGGGAAGAGGATAGGCAAGAGAAATTTTTTCTGTTAGTTTTCTGAGCCTTGTTTTCTAAATGTATTATTGATTCTTTAATTCTCCCACAAATCAAAGTCTCAGTGTTTTTCTGTCATGGTTGTCATTTTAATGCTACTGATTTCTTATCAGTTGAAAGGAAAAGAAGTTGATTTTTTTAAAAATGCAATCAAATGTCAGGGGGAAAACACTTCCTAACAGCAAGACCAATTAGCTACAAAGGTTGTGGACGTCATGGGATGTTGAAACAGGGGCTAGAGCAGGGGTGGGCAAACTTTTTGGCTCGGGGGGCCGCATTCACTTTTACAATTTGACAGACGGGCCGGGTCAGCACAAGATTTTTTGGGAATCGCCCCCCCTTCCCCCCTTCTTCTCCTCCTTCCCCTCCCCTCGGAGGCCCCCTGAGTCAGGAGTTGCTACTGCCGGCACGGCTCCACGCGGCTCCAGTCCCACGTTGCCTCGGGAAGGGAAAGGCAAAAAGGAAGAGCCGCGGCGGTGCTTTGCAACAGCAGCAGCGGCACCGGAGGTTCAGGCTCAGCGGCTCCTGGTTTTGCCTTTCCCTTCCCAAGGCAACGCGGGACTGGAGCCGCGCGGAGCTGCACCGGCGGTAGCAACTCCTGACAGCACCAGCCGGACACCTGAGCAGAGCCCGGGCAGAACTGCCTGTTGCTGCTGCGGGCGCTGCTGCGGGTGTCTGGCTGCCCAAGTAAAGAACCGCACCAGCTCAGGGCAACTGTGAGGAGCAAGAGGGGAGAGGCAGAGAAGGAGGCAGAGAAGGAGGAGAGCACCTGGCCAGTTGGGGGAGGCTTCTTGTGCTGCGAAAGAGGTGGCTAATGATCTCTGGCTCCACTCTGCTTCTCCAACATCCGGCGCTGCCCTGTTCTGTGCGCCGGCTGCTCGGACTTGCTGGCCTGACACAGAACAGGGTGGCGCCGGATGTTGGAGAAGCAGAGCGGAGCCGGAGATCATTAGCCGCCTCTTTCGCAGCACAAGAAGAACAGGGTGGTGCCGGACCATTGGAGAAGCAGAGCAAAGCCGGAGATTAGTAGCTGCCTCTTTCGGCACAGAAAGCTTCCCCCAACCAGCCGGCTGGTCTCCTCCTTCTCTGCCTGTTTGTTCTGTATGGCTGAGGAGGAGGAGACCAGCTGAGAAGCACGCTGCCAGGCGGGGGCCACGCGGTGCAGGGCAATACGCCACTGCCCAGCCCTGGCTTGGGAAAGCAGTGGGCGTTCCCCGGGCGGTGGCCTTGGCCCCGCTAGCAGGGAAGCAGCTGCCCAGCTCCGTGTTGTGTGTGCAATTTTTTGGCGCGCGGCGCGGGGTCTCTTTTGGCCGGCCCCAATTTTTTTTTCAGAGGGGAATATTTTTTTTCAGAGGCGGGCCGTATTAAAATGACCAACGGGCCGGATGAGTCCCGCGGGCCGTAGTTTGCCCACCCCTGGGCTAGAGAATAGCATGGGAGAGGCTGCAACTTAGAATATTGCACTGAGCAAGCAACTGGATTTGATGTTCTAAATTCAACTCAGCAGAAAAGAATCTGAATATACTGGAATAAGTATTTTTTGAAAGAAGTCTAAACAACAGGGATGCCCTACTTATAAATCAGCTTTGCATAGCCTGGATATGCTGTCATAAGAA